ATGGATCTCATAACCTTAGTCTGAGCTTCCACTGCAGCACTGTGATTAGGTAGTTTCTGCCTTTGAAGGGAAGCTTAGACTGTGGCAACTAAATGCTGTACCATGCATGGGTTCATAAGTGTTGTCACTACTTGCATGTTGGAAAGAATGGGCTTGAAGATCTGTCCAAAGCCTGGTGCCACAGTGAAGCAGGGCTCTTCCACACTTCTTGACACCAATAGCAGACTGTCTGGCAGGCTGAAAATGCACCTAACATCTTGGTATGCATTCTCAAGGCTCTCCCGTATATATTGATGTCCTCACCAGATTCCTCCATAGCAGAATTCACATGAAACCGACAAACTGGTATACAAACTCTCCTTGACCCCTGGCCTGGCTGCAGGCACACATGACCAGTGTCACAGTCTGTGCAGATTAAGGTTCTACACTACTCCCTAAGGTACACACAGTACTAGTGTGAGAGTTGATGGCTGTGTTTGTCAGATAGTGCTTCCTCAGAGCGCTCCATGAAGCTCTTACCCTGTAGTGGCTGCACAATTCTTTAGAATCTGAAGGCATAAAAGACAAAGTTTGATGAGGGATGGGGGATATGGATGGAGAGCATGATATGCATGGTCACAGGATCTGCAGTTTTCACTTCATGATGTGTGCAACTTCCAATAAAGCAGCTGCCTTTAAGACATGCTAACTTGCTGAACAGGCACGACTCACTCACAATGCTTGGCTCCCTTTTAAGCATGCACTCAGCCAAAGTGTTTTGTGCTGGCTGCACATTGACTTGAATAAATTACTCAGAGTCAAAGTCGTAAAGCAGAAACTCGTCCCTTTTGCCTGCTTATGGCCCATAAGCCTCTAATCCTTTCCTATTTGCTTACTGTCCAAATATCTTAAATGTTGTAACTGTACACGCCTCTACCAGTGCCTCTGGCAGCTCATTCCATACAAGTGAGGAGGCAGTATGCCTTGATGGGGCCAGATATGGACTAACTGCATCTTGAGACATCAAATCCAGAAGCAGGAGACATCACTTTATTTCCTTAACTTGAAAAATAAATCCAATGGCCGCACATTTTTTTTAAAAATGGGTACTCAGCCAATCCGGAGAAATTAGAAAAACTGGTCAATGAGTTTTAAGAACATTTGCAAAGGAGGACAAGTCCAGACACTAGGATTCAACATAGTAAAGGCTTTGCCATTAATGAAATGTTCAGGTTGGAAGTTGGGAGGAGAAATTAGACTAAAAAGAGTCTAAGGATAGGGTTGAACAAGGCCAAGAATTAAAGGGCATTGACTTAAAATTAACTGGAGAATGGATACCATTAAATATATACTTAAAATAGTCATCATCAATATCACCTTCATTAGACAATGAGAACAGGATGAGACAGGTTATATATTTCAAAGTTCTGGAAAGATTAAAGCTAATGAAGAAGGGGGATACAAGACCATTAAAGAGATTAAAGTATCTGGGTTTGCAGCAAGTTAAAATATATTTAAGTTGCAGTGACTAAGGGGCTAAGATATTGTCAAAGATGGGCAACACTGCACAGGTGGAAGTAAGTTTCCTTTGTACACTATGAAATAATTCACAACCAAAACAAAAATAGCCTCCAAAAATGTTCTGAGCAATAGGTTCATGGGATCCTACTGATATTTTGCTACTTCCATTCTTTAATAGTTCTAGCATACAGTTAGAAAATATATGTTTGAAGCAAAAGCCTTATGAAGGAGGTCACTTATTTGCATTGATTTAATTATGTTGTTAGGGTCATTGGATGCTCATTCCTCTGACACTGCAGTTACATATGAAATAATTTCAAGATAACTTCAATCTTTCCTTTGTAACTAAGCTCAGGGATCAGATTATGAGTGACAAAATTTAGGATCTCAGCTGTCAATATCCCCATTGTATGATTCACAGTAACTTCATTGCACAGTATTCTCAAGTTGGAGTATCAGAATTCTGTATGAAAAGCATGGGACAGCAGTCTCATTTTCTTTCTCCATAAACTGCTACACTTCAGTATGAAAAAATCCAAATGAATTGAGGATAACTGCAGCAAGGTATTAGTTGTGGCTCAGTGGTAGATTGCTTGCCTGTGAGTTCTGGATTTAACTCCTGCTCAGGACAGCGCAACAAGGCTTACTTTGCAATCCTGAGGGAGTACTGCACTGTCAAAGGTATCACCTCTCAGAGAAGACATTAAACTGATATCTCGTTGGTCTTCTCAGATGGATGTAAAGGATCTTGTGGATGTATTGTGGGGGTAAAGAAGACAAGAGTAGAGGAAACAGCTGCAGTATTTTGGCTGATATTTGTCCATCAATAATCACAGAAACAGCTTAGCAGTAATTATCACATTGCTGTTTGACAGCTGTGTGCAAAGTGGTTAGGTGTCTTAACACTTCAAAAGTCCCTAACTGGGTGTGAAGTACTTTATAACATGCAATGGTCATGAAGATACTACACAAATACAACTTTTTCCAAGTCTCATCTGCAGGAATGGAAACATTAAACTGAATTTGCATCAACATAAAGTACTTTATCAATTCTTTGGGACACAATCATGTGGTGGTCACTGCTTACACCACCCATCCCAAAACTAAGTGGCAGGAACACCCCTTTGTCAATTGAAGCCCTTAAATGGGCAGTTAATGCCTACTTAAATGGCCTCACGTTGCTACTAATATTAAATGAGTGGAACAAACAGTGGTGACTTGCCACACTGGAAGGATGACAAGCATTTGCGTACAGGCTCCTGGGTTGAGGGGGGAAGGCACCCTGCTTATAAAGGCATTTAGTTCCTAATAAGAGACTTGGCATCAAGAAGTGACAGAGAACAGCTACCAAAGGCAATACCCTCCCATTGCTACCAAAATTCTCCTTCCTCCGAGACCTCCCCAACCACCACTGTTCATTTGTGCCCAAATCCCTCCTACATCCAAGGCTTTCGACAAGTGCAGTAACAAGCACAGCCTCCCCAGTTGCTGTGCTGATGACAGAAGAGCTGCCAGCCTGGAATTAAACGGTAGCTCCCAACACATGACTTTTGTCCCATGGGAAGCTTTTGATCGAAGGGCGCGGCGTGCTTGCCCAAAAGCAGGGAACACAAGAATCTCATCAGCTCTCCAGTTGGCAGGCAAGATCTTCATCAACTCCATAAGATTCTGTTCCATTGTTAACAAAATTGAAAACTTGTATTAATTTTTGAAAACCAACACAAGACTGATGAGTATATTCAGGTCTCAACAATACTCACCTAATACAAAACTCATGAATGTGTGATAACAAAGAAGCAGCATGGTACACAGGAGAGCCCGAAAGTTTTCTGTGGATGCTCCTTCCTGCAATTGTTCTAGACCATATTCCTAAAGACAAAGAATCTCATCAATAGAAGAGATTGCATTTTCAATGTATTATTGTTTTGTTAGAATGTCAAAAATGGTATTTTGGTACAAATATTTCTTACACTTTTTACAGGGTTTAATATTTATCATTCTAGTACATTGAACTGAACAGGTATGCAACAACTACACTTGAAATGTGAATCAGAGATAGTAGGAACTGCAGATGCTGGAGAATCCAAGACAACAAGGTGCAGAGCTGGATGAACACAGCAAGTCAAGCAGCATCATAGGAGCAGAAAGGCTGAGGTTTCGGGCCTAGACCCTTCATCAGAAATGGGGGAGGGGAAGGGGGGTTCTGAAATAAATAGGGAGAGAAGGGGAGGCGGATAGAAGATGGATAGAGGAGAGGATAGGTGGAGAGGAAACACCAGGTCGAAGAGGCAGGGATGGAGCCAGTAAAGGGCTTGATGTGGGAGGAGGGGATAGGTGTTTGGGATCTCCCCTCCCCCTACCGCATCCCAAAACCAGTCCAGCTCGTCCCCGCCTCCGTAACCTGTTCTTCCTCCCACCTATCCTCTCCTCCCACCTCAAGCCGCATCCCCATCTCCTACCTACTAACCTCATCCCGCCCCCTTGACCTGTCCGTCCTCCCTGGACTGACCTATCCCCTCCCTAACTCCCCACCTACACTCACCTTTACTGGCTCCATCCCCGCCTCTTCAACCTGTCTGTCTCCTCTCCACCTATCTTCTCCTCTATCCGCCTCCACCTCTCTCCCTATTTATTTCAGAACTCCCTTCCCCTCCCCCATTTCTGATGAAGGGTCCAGGCCCGAAATGTCAGCCTTTCTGCTCCTATGATGCTGCTTGGCCTGCTGTGTTCATCCAGCTCTGCACCTTGTTGTCTACACTTCAAGTGTGATTTACTGGTTGTAAATATCCTGAGGTCATTACAGATAGGCATACATTTTAATATTTTCTTGCTTATTGAACAAGCAATCATTAATGGTCGAACACAAATGTCTATGCACTGACAATCTAAAAAATCTGAGCAGCCTTAAAATTGACTTTTGAAAGGTATTTGACTGATACAAGGAGAGGTGTTCTATTTGCAGCTTAAATCTGACAGACTATTTTACTCAACAAGAATCTTTAGTAAGTTTAACAGACAAATATCACAAGGACAAGCCTCCAATGAACACTGGTTGAAGTTAATTTGTAACCTGATAGCCTTTCAATATTCCCAGAATTCATGATGATTTTACAATGAATCTTTAGAAATAACAGGAAAGAACTGCAGAACAGTAATTAGAATATTAGATCTGACAGATGTTAGATAATCATTCAATGGAGCAGCAGCTGACTACAGGCAAATAAACTTAATGAACACTAATTTTGTAGCTTCTATTAAAGTTATTGTGAGCTAAGCAAAGCCAAGGGCTGAATCTTACCTTTGTTTGGCGATGCCCGAGTTATGTTGAGTTTTTTGGAGGGATTTTCACTGCAAGGTCTAATGAGTTCTCTCACCATTTCTTAGCAAACACACCTCATTGATTATCTACCACATCCCACAGCATCTGTCACATCTGATTTCCATCCAATCTTATCCCATACCATTCCTGAAACAAGTCACCACTTGGTGGATATTGTGGAATCCTTGCTCCTGTACCATCTTTAATTGTACAGCCAGCCAAGCATGTCAGTCTGGCGCTGCACTATATAGTTGTTGACATTTGCCCTGGACATGAAAAACAGGGAAGAATTGACACCCTGCTTTGTGTGCAGGGTCCTGGTGGCCCTGGTCAATGAATGGTGCTGACACAAGATACCCTTCTCCCTCAAGATTAGCTGTGGAGGCCACAACCCAGGCCACGCCATCCTAGGTCATTGTCCTTCTATACTTCTCCAGGGTAAGGTTCATCTTCTCTTCGATACCGACTAAGGCTCAAGCTCTACCACTCTCACTATGTCCTGCAACACCTTTCCCACTGCTATAACCCACTGCAACCCTCAACATCACTCACGGTACATGCCCTCAATGCTGGCTACTTTAATTGCTTGGACACTCTAGCTTCTTATATAATGTAACAACTCCATTTGAATTCTCTATATCGGTATGAAAATATACAGCAATTTTAACTTGATCTTTGTTTCATCAGCATGGAATAATTGTTGTCTAAGGTTGTACGCGATTACTTGCATGATTTGTTCCATGTTTCAGTGTAATTAGTAGTTGCTTTATACTTGTATAATTGGTTACTCACTCACATCACCATTCTATTTAGATGATCAGAACAATTAAACCAAAAGTTGGTCAAATGTTTTCATGCTATGATAACTTACAGATTTCAGTTGCAAGTTATGAACAAATATTTTATTTTCTGGCACAAGGTATCAGAATTGGAAGATTAAATGGTGAGGATCTGCAAGTGAAAGGGCACAAAAGTGTGTTGTTTTGAAATATATGATCAAAAAGGTTAATAAGTGAGGTTCTAAAATGATAGGGTTGATCACAAACAAATAAAAAAGTATTTGCCTCTTGAATTGAGTTGCTTATACCTGCCTCTAAAAAATCTTTTTAAGTTTATATTTGAACTTCCACGTCAAGGGTCTAAATATTTCAGTGGTAGCTGGAAAAGAATCCCAGTGGCAAGAGAGCTAAAGAGAGCTTGAGAGCGCTAAAATACCTGTATGACTTGTTTGAAGCAGAGAAAAGAATATGAAGTTTGAAAATAAGTGATAAAATTTTGTTAAGCATCATTGTTGGTATTGTGTCATTACTCCAGTGATTCACAGACTGTTAAGCACAAATATTAAAGCTTGAATTAAGCATCAAAAACTTTGGTGGCGGTTGTCAAATCAAACTCGTAGTGGAATAGCATCTTAACATCTAAGTATGCAGAGACTTATTTTGAGTGCATAATCTTATTAAATCTACAGATGTATACTGCATTGGCTGAGCCCAAAAATAAGAAGTGGATTTTTTTTTTTTTTTAAAGAAAGTACTTCGCTGAGTGAGCTACAATATTCAATCACTGGATCAATTACAAGAAATGAACCAAGAAAAAACAATATTAACCTCGAAGGTGAAAAAAAGTTCTTCCTTGAGATTAACTTTTGAGTATTTATTCTTACCTTGTTTCCAGAAAATCCAACAAATTCTAAAAGTCGGAGAATCCTTGTTGGCAACAGGGATATAGTCTAAGAAAATGAAGAAAAAGAAAAAAAAAAAAAAAATTGGAAATATTCAGCCTTCCACCAATGCCCACATCCCATGAATGAACAGAAAAAAAATGACATGTTCTCATTGTTTCAGTAGAATATTTTCATGATTCAGATTTTGACATGGAGTGTTGTTATCAGCTTACAACACAGCAAAACTCATTATCTCAGTCAGATCTGATTGGGATTTGGGTACTTCTATACAGGATGTTTAAAAAAAAAAGCTATGCAAATTAGTAGGATTGATATTTTTCACCAGTATCATAAAATAATCACTGAAAAAGAAATTTAGGTTTTGTATGCAGCAGACTGCCCATTCAGTACCAGTACATTTTGCACTTTGGATGTAGACCAGTTTTGACCCTGGTCACCTCTAGGTTGGTCTTTAATTTTAAAGAGCGTCCCTTACAATCACATGCCTAACAAAGACTTAGGTATGGGTTGTCTTTGCTTTAATGGAGAATAATTCATGACATGGAGTAAGGGGGAACCGTATGACTTGCTTGAAGCAAAGAGAATGCAAAGTTTGAAAATAAGTGATAACGCAGATGTTCTTACTCACTAGATTAAAAGCCCCAATTCCAAGTTGAACACCTCCTTCAAGATGGCTGTAATTCTCTCCTTTTGTATAATTGGAAGACTGCACAATATTAAGAAGTTCCCTTTCAATAATGAATAAAAAAAGATTAGAGCACAATAATTAACTACTTTCCACAGTTAAATACTTTAAATTTATATCTGACATCAATTTTTTTCAGATTTAATGTTGTAATTATTTGCATTTAAAGGTTTATCACTTGAGTTTCATCACCATTCTTTTCACGGATCTGTTGTTGAGTTGCATATTTTGAGATGATGTCAGCTTTGAGATTCCCTTCAAATCCTTCTCAACAGACCCTGTTGGCTTGTTAAATGGAGACTGTTGCATTACAAAATAGGGAGAGATTTCACATTCACACTGGTAAGAAACTAAATCCAAGGGATGAAGGGTCTAGGCCCGAAACGTCAGCCTTTCTGTTCCTATGATGCTGCTTGGCCTGCTGTGTTCATCCAGCCCTGCACCTTGTTGTCCCAGTCCAAAAGGAGTTAACTTTTAAAATCTCTTGAGCTATCTGATAATGTTCATTAAATCCAAAACTATAGTAATCAATGAAGAAAAAAGAGAATTGTATATACTCAAAAGCATTTAATTTTGAGACAATGAAGGGGGAGTTAGCATATGTTACAGTGGTTTGAGCTAATCAATTGAGCAATTTTTTTTTCAGAAAACACTTAGTGACCTTCAAAGTTTGAGATGCCCAAATACCCCATTTTCCTATCTGGTAAAATGGTTGATAGACAGTTATGTGTAGGTTTGATTCCCCACAGAACATTTTCCTTCCTGGACCACTGTGGGATGCACTAGGTGAAGACTAAGCAATTCCTCACAAGAAAAAGGGAGAAAGGAAACATCAGCATGACACAACTGTGCATGATCAGAGCAAAATTATTGGAAGCAGATCAAAATATTCAGTGCACCCATCACATGTAAAAGGGATGCCTGGGCTGGGGGGGTTGTCATCATCCTCCATACAAGCTGCTTAAAATTCAGGTTTGCAGGACTCCACTAAAGGACTCTAATTATGGAAACTCGAATAGTTCATTCAGGTCATCAAGCCTGCTCCGTTGTTTAATATTATGGCTGATCTTAACATCAACTGCATTTTCTGCTATAGCTCAATGTCTCTTGCTCCCTGACAAAAATCTATTGATATCAGTCTTGAATTGACTCCACCTCCACAGCCTTTTAGGGGGAAAAAAAATTCAGGTTCCACTACTCAAAGCACTTTCTGCCTCAATAGCCTGGATCCAAACTTTAAAATGTTATAGAAGAACAACAGGAAGTACGAGAGAAACTCAGCATGTCTGGTTGCATCTGTGGAGAGAGACAAAACAAAGTTAATATTGAATCTGATGGAAATCTTCTTTGGAACGGAAGAGGACAGAAAGCAATGTTTGTTATGTTGTTGACAAAGGGGTAGTCGGAGAAGTAGTGAGTCAAACAGATGGCGAGAGTGCCCAGTGCAAAATAGAAAGAGTGCGAAATTGTTGTAACGGATAGATTTACATGAAAAATAGGTGAGAATGGCAGTTATGAATGGTTGAAAATCAGTTGGCTTTTCCGAGAGCAAACCCATGCAAATAAGACACAAGGACAAGGAAGGGTCATTGGATCAAAAACGTTAACTCTGATTTCTCTCCACAGATGCTGCCAGACCTGCTGACCTTTTCCGGCAATTTGTTTTTGCTTCGGAGGAAGATAACTCTATGAATGTGGAGGCTGATAGGATGGAAAGTGAGGATAAGTGGATCCCTATTGTTGTCTTTGGAGGGAGGGGCAGTGGTGATAACGGAAGTGCAGGAAATAGGTTGGACATGGCGGGGGCCCTGTTAGGTTGGGAGGGGGAATACTTGGTTGAGGAAAAAGGTGAACAGAAAGCATGCTGGGGAACCCCTGTGGAAGGGGGCTTTGATTGAAGACTTTATTCCTCATCCTTAATGCCTGTGCTCTTGTATTTGATTCAAAACAAATACGCACATCAAAAGATGTGGAGTAATGCACGAACCGTAATCTTATAGCCAGCTTCTTCTTTAAACAGTTCTATTAGTTTCCTTACAAAGTGACTAAGTCTGAAGACTACATGCACTGTTATTAGCCACGATAATCGCAGAGCACAGCAAACTTACTTGTAAGTCTGGTAACTATTTCTTATTTTGATGCTGCCTTTAATAAAGCTAATCATGTTCTCATCCTGTAATAAAAATGTTAATTAAAGTGAATTTGAAGTCTTGTACATGTTATGAATTGGACAATATAAAAAGGTAATGCCAAGAAGGTAATTCAATGTGCCAGAATTTATTCTTCATTTATACTAACTTTCCCCTCACAGCATCAAACACTCCTAAATATCTCTCTATTACATCAGGAAGCTTAGTGCAGATACTTATTGCATGAAAATGGTCTTTTATTTATTCAAAATATCCTGTAGTTTTTTTCTCGAAACTGGTTTATAATTACAGTCACTAACCCAATTATCTAGCTTTATCTTAAAACAATATTGAATTTATCCAAGCCAACGACACTTAACATGAATGAGCAAGGTTTTAATCAGCTATATTTTACCAAAGTTATGGAGATAACTTCTTCACTTTTCCTTGAAGGTGCTCTAATTTACAGCTGCACTTTTCTGTATTCTCTCCAATGTCCATAAACCTCTCTTCAGGTGTGACACTTTTTAAAAAGGCAAGACAGAATGCAGATGGAAAACAAATACCAGGCACTTCTGTAATGTTTTATTGCTACCAAATAAATTGGGCTAGCCACTGCAGTCTTGTTTGGCCTAAGTGATCTATTCCATAAACCAAGTACATAATACTTATCTGAATGAGATGCACTATGAAATTATGCAGAATTCTAGATTTTCTGAATACATTTAATTCAGTCCATTTCAAGTAGACCAATTTTTTTTTATTTTAACTCAGCCCCATTGATAAGGAATCTTCACACTGCGATGCACAAATGCTTGCATAGTTAACACGTAAGTTGACTTTTCTTTTTCACAATGTTGGAAGAGTTGGAATTTTTGTCAGATGTTCTGTCTTCACAAAGTAGGACACAAATCAGATACCAGAAATGTTGGTGACTGCAAGATTTATTGAGGGAGATCAGTATTACTAGAGAAATGGCGCTAGGAAATTGATGGGATTGAAGGCATATAGATCCCCAGGGCCTGAATCTACATCCTAGGAAGTGGCTCTAGACATAGCGGATGCATTGGTGGTCATCTTCCAGGATTGTATAGACTCTGGAACAGTCCCTGCAGACTAGGGGGTAGCTAATGTCATTCCAATATTCAAAAAGGGAGGTAGAGAGAAAACAGGGAATTATAGACCAGTAAAGCCTAAGATGGATACTGGGGAAAATTCTCGAATCCATTATCAAGGACTTTGTAGCGGAGCATTTAGAAAGCAGTGGAAGGATAAGACGGAGTCAGCATGGATTTATGAAGGGGAAATCATGCTTAACAGATCTGTTGGAATTCTATGAAGATATAATTAGTAGAGTTGACAAGGGGGAGCCAGTCAATGTGGTATATTTGGACTTTCAGAAAGCGTTTGACAAAGTCCCGCAAAAGAGATTATTGCGCAAGATTAAAGCACGTGATTGGAGCAAGTATATTGAGATGGTTGAAACAAACAGTAGGAATTAATGGGTCCTTTTCAAATAGGCAGGCAGTAACTAGTGGGGTGCCGCAGGGATCAGTGCTGGGACCCCAGCTATTCTCAATGTATATTAATGATTTCGATGAGGGAACAAAATGTAACATCTCAAAGTTTGCAGATGATACCAAATTGGATGGGAGGGTGAACTGTGACAAGGATGCAGAGATTCTTCAGCATGTTCTGGACAGGTTGTTGGGTGAGTGGACAAATCAATGGAAGATGCAGGAGATAATTTGGATAAATGTGAGGTTATTCGCTTTGGAAGCAAAAACAAGAAAGCAGATTACTACTTGAATAGCTGTAAATTGGGAGAGGGGAGTGTGCATTGGGACCTGGGTGTCCTCGTGCGTACCAGTCGCTGAAGGTAAGCATGCAGGTGTAGCAGACGGTAGAGAAGGCAAATGGTATGTTGGCCTTCATTGCAAGAGGTTTTGAGTACAGGAGAAGGGATATGTTGTTGCAGTTATACAAGGCCTTGGTGAGGCTACACCTAGAACATTGTGTGCAGGAAGGATGCTCTCGCTCTCGAAGGGGTACAGCGAAGGTTTACCAAGCTGATTCTGGGGTTGACAAAATTGACATCAGAATCCTGACAGTGTGGAAACAGGCCCTTCAGCCCAACAAGTCCACACCGAACTTCAGAGCATCCCACCCAGACCCATCCCCGTGTAACCCACCTCATCTACACATCCCTGAAGACTATGGGCAATTTAGCATGGCCAACCCACCTAGCCTGGACATGTTTGGAATGCGGGAGGAAACGGAGCATCCGGAGAAAACCCATGCAAACATGGGGAGAATGTGCAAACTCCACACAGACAGTCACCCGAGGGTGGAATCGAACCCAGGTTACTGGTGCCGAGGCAGCAGTGCTAACCACTGAGCCGCCACCGTATGTGGAGAGATTAACTAGGTTAGCATTGTTTTTCCTTGAGTTCAGACAAATGGGGGTGGGGGATCTCATAGAGACTTCTAAAATTCTAACAGGACTAGACAGGGTAGATGCAGAGAGGATGTTCCCGATGGTGGGTGTGTTCAGAAACAGGGGTCACAGTCTGAGGATTTGGGGTAGACCATTTAGGACAGAGATGAGGAGACGTTTCTTCACCCAAAGAGTGGTGAGCTTTTGGAATTCATTACCACAGGAAGTAGTTGATACCAAAACATCAAAAGGCAGCACTTGGAGTGAATGGGATTAAAGGTTATGGGGAAACAGCAGGATTAGGCTATTGAGTTGGACGATCAGCCATGATCATGATGAATGGCAGAGCAGGCTTGAAGGGCCAAATGGCCTACTGCTGCTCCTATCTTCTATGTTTGTGTGTCATAGGGTGGAAGACAACATTGATTGAATGGTAAAACGGATGATTATTCAAAGCAAAAGGAAATCATAATGAGCTAAGTAAAGATTAGAAAAGATGGATGTATCGTATTATGCTAATGCTGATGGACAAACACTGACAACACATTTGTAATGAGGGAAGTAAGAGTTCAAGGGAAGGCAAAGCATCAGTGGCTGATCAGATTGTCTCTAGATCGTAACCAATCAAGAAAGTATGTACATGTAAGATTCAATAATTGGCAAGACTTTTTTTCAGATATTTTGAAATATCAGGGAATCAAGGATCAGTCCTCTGAAAGATTTCTCACATCTGAAAGTAAAACAATTGCTAATTTACTAATCAATCATTTTGTACGTGCCTTCCCGAATAAAGAAGATGCTACAGCAAAGGATGTCCTGTTAAAGTTGTTTCAATGGAAGTACCATGAGCTCCAAAAGATGATTTTAGCAAATATTAGCGCACTTAAAATTGATCATGCAGCAGGAAAAACATACCATTCTAAAATGTTTAAAGACTGGGTGGATGTTGTTAACTTAACACCTTATTGATTGTTTTCCAAGAACTAAAAATGTTCTTTTATTATAGGCAAAAAGGTGGGGGGGGTGGGGGCAAGGTCCCTAAAAGGGGTAGCAGGGAAACTTCTAAAACTACAAAATGTTTTCCATTATAAATGATCACTTGGAAAATGTGATGATGGTTGGTGATCCCAAACATTTAGGAATCACAGCTCCTTGCCACACTACCTTCACTTACAATGGCTTGCATACTTTCTATACTATGCATACTTTTGGTTATTATGCAGGAAGAAGGTTCTTAGTGTTCTGAGGAAGGGTCACCGGACCCGAAACATTAACTCCGTTTTCTCCTCCACAGGTGCTGCCAGACCTGCTGAGCTTTTCCAGCAACTTTGTTTTTGATCCTGATTTACAGCATCCACAGTTCTTTTGGTTTTTATTAAGGTTCTTAGGATGGCTGTTAAGATTGTGTATTGACAAGCATGCTGAGTTTAGAACCCCCAAGTATGAGAATAAAATGGAAATTAGGTTCATATATTTCCCAGAAACGCAGGTTTGGACGTAGCTGAGATATCATGAAACCATGCAAGGTCGATGTGTTTTACTTACAAGGTTATTTGCAATGGACAGGGATGGAAGGACTGAAAAAAACATGTTGTAAAATTCAGAGGCCAAGAGTTAGTTTAGATTCTAGGAAGTATTTCTTTTCTGGTGTCTTCAGAAGAAACAAGATACACTGTGAATATGCTATTGCTATGGATTTTTAAAAGGGAACCTTAAGAGAGAGGATTGACAATTGTAGGAATTTAAGCGTTTAGTTAGCTCATTCTGTGCTAACACCTCGACTTGGAGTGAATTAGTTTGTCACTGGGGGCAGAAAAGGAATTTCTCAGTTTTTTCTGGAATTGTCACAGCTTCTTCCTCTTCTTTTTGCATCACAACAGAACAGTTGTTCATGCTATGTAAACTTGCATAGCATAATGAACCAGGCAAACCTGATAGCCCAAATGATATTTCCTTAACCTTCATTCTGTACAATCAGTTGTGCTTTAAACTTGAGAAATACTTTAAATGTTGATTTAACTACAGCGAATGGCTCAGTAAAGAAAACAAAATTACTTTCAACTGAAGTCATAATTTCAAAGTTAACCTGAGTTGATTTGCTTTTAGCAGTTATAATTTTCATTACCCTTTCCCAGAACAAATACTGTTACCTGTAAGAAAGTGAGAGCAGCCCTCTGTAACAAACACTCAGCGTAGCAGACTTCAGCATGCATCTCCTCTGTGTGCAGATCAAACATTGCAAATAAGCTATTGTTATCAAAATACTACAATAAACACCAGTCTTACCATTTCTTGAGGAGCGCTCAATCCTAAATATCAGACATATTAATATATTCAGAAATTAAATCAAGACTGAACAAATTCTGATAAAACAAACCCACATATTTAAGAATTGGTACTGACTTTTAATTCCTGTAAAAATTTATAAACACAAACTAAAAAAGTTCATAAAGCAAAAAATAATTGACAGGAACAACTTAGTGGGTAAGAGGTTAAAGTTGAGTTTAGTTGATCTGAAGCTTCACACATCCCAATGAGGATCAGTACAATAAAAAGTATTTCAGTAAAGAATTGTTTACGTACACATGGAAGGGAAAACATGGATACACCACGTGTTCCAGAGGAACACATCTGCAAGAAGTGTCACTGGCTGCACAAGCTTGAGCTGCTGTGCATGTTTAAGGAAGTGGTCACTTTGCAGTTTAGAGGTGTACAAGCACTGAGAGAACAAGGGACCACCAGGCAGTCTGCCGAGGCCAGATAAACAGCGCAGACCTCCTCCAGAGTCTATCTGGCTTGCTAATTGGTATCCCAGTTTGGATACTGGTGACAGCGGCGATTCAAGAAAGTATAGCCACGTTGGTGGCATCATGGGCAGCTCGGGTACATAGTTTGGGTGGGGGTGGGGAAATAGTTACAAAGGATTCCATAGTCGGGGGTCAGATGCCACTTTAAATTTGAGTGCAGGATGATGTGTTATTTTCCTGGTGCCAGAGTAAAAGGATGCTACAGAACGGCTACAAGACATTCTTTTGGAGGGTAATCAGCTAGGGATTGTGATACAAGTTGGTTCCAATCACTTATTGAGAAATGGTGATAAGGCCCTGGAAGCAGATTTCAGAGAGTTCGGTTGGAGGTTGAAAGCAGTAGTCTCATGATTACTCCCAGTTCCACGTACTATTGAGCACAGAATTTGGAAAATGGAGCAATTGATCATGTGGCTAGAAAGCTGGCATTGGTGGGAGAACATCAAAATGCTGTGGCAGCAGAACCAGTTCTGGGGAAAGTGGGAGTTGCACAAGCTGAGTCTACAACTGAACAAGACCGGGGCAAATATCCTTGCAGGGAGATTTGCTAGTGCTGTTGGGGAGGGTTAGACCATAAGACAGCCATTTGGAACACACAGTCTGTTCTGCCATTCAATGAGATCATAACGGATCTGATACTCCTCAACATGATAGCCTAGTGGTATTATCATTGGACTATTAATCCAGAAACTCAGCTAATGTTCTGGGGAATCTACTGATGATTACGAAACCATTGTTGATTGTTGGAAAAGCCTGTCAGGCTCACTAATGCCCTTCAGGGAAGGAAATCTGCTAAGCTCGCCTGGTCTGACCTACATGTGACCCAGATCGACAGCAGTGTGGTTGATTCTCAAAATGCCCTCACAAGCCACTCAGTTCAAAGGCAGCTAGAGATAGGCAATAAATCCTGGCCAGCCAGCAACACCCACGATCCACAAGCAAATTTTTTTTTTTTTTTTAATAAAAACTCCACATTTCTCCCTTATCCCCACATACCATCTTTATCAAATATCTGTCAATCTCAGCTTGTATATACTTAATGACTGAGGTTTGACAACCCTCTACAGTAAAGATTCCATGGATTCACTATACTCAGAAGAAATTCTGCCTTATCACTATCTTAAATGAGCAACCCCATTCTCAGAGTATATATTCCCTTTGGTCCTAGACTCTCCCACAAGTCGAAACAACCTCTCCAAATCTACCATATACAACCTTATATGTTTCAATAAAATCTCCTCTCGTTTTCTACCTATGAATTAATACAAGCCCAGCTTTCTCAACCTTCCTGCTCAGGAAATTCCTGAACTTTCTCTGGATTACCTCCAATGCCATTATTCCTTCCTGAGGTAAGGGTCCAAAACTGTTTAGAGCATTCCAGCTGTGGTCTGACTAGTGCCTTGTATAGGCTTATCAAGGCTTCCCAGTTTTATTTGCAAAGAAATGGGGTATAAAGGCCAACAGTCTCTTCCTTCCCTCTTACTTGGATGATAGTTTTTTGTGCTTCATGCACTCAGACCCCCCAATCCCTCTGTGCTGCAGCGTTCTGTGCTATTTTCCATTTAAATAATATTCAACTCTTCTATTCTCCCTTCCAAACTGCCTAACCTTGTATTTTCCTACATTATATTACGTCAAGTTTTTGCCCTTCACTTAACCTTTCTATATCCCTCAGACTCTTCATCTCATTCTCATTACTGGCTTTCCTATCTATTTAGCAGACGTAGAAACAGTACGTTCACTTCTGTCATCCAAGTGGGCAATACATATAACTGATCCTTCTGGCTCTCCACTAGTTACAGAATTCCATTCCAAAAATGCCTCCGTTGTCCCAACTCTTGTATTAGTTAGCCAATCCTCTGCCCATGCTAATGTACTACCCCCAATACCATGGCCTCTAGTGCTATGGGGAAAGACTTAAACACAGTGAGATTAGAATTGAGGTGATCAACTTGCATGGTGTTGACACCAAGTAAAACGAGAAAGTCAAAAGAAGAAAAGGATTCAATAAAACACTGCAATAATTTAGATGTGAATTATTTGCTGTTTAACAAGAGAAAATTTTACATGCAAAAATCTTGCAAAGCCAAAATATTTAGATTCCTTAATTGCTTAGGAAGTTGAGTGGCTTTGTGTACCATTTGAATAATAATTATACTTGGAATATAGAAAATTTGATGACCTAGAAGGAGTTGTGTTCCAAGTTCACAACTCAATAAAAGCAGCATCTTGAGTAGTTAAAGCCGTACAAAAACTGACAGCCTGCAGCATTCACCACCCAGACTCACTCATTAATAATGGCTGGATTTTACATCAGACAGCAGATATCGGGGGGAAAGAAACAAAAAGGTTTTCAGAACTAGTGGAGGATAAAACAATAAATTCTAATACACTATACTAACCTTCAGTAAATTGTTCTGCAGCATGCCTATTCATCAAACTGTTGATTGAGTTTGCAACAGTAGTCTTCTTCCGAAATCTAACAAGCAGAAAAATTAAGCCGGGTTACTACCCTATGGATGTAACAATGAAGGTGAACATGTTCTTTTCACACTCTTTACGCTGAAGGTACAGCTTGTGCTATGATAACATTTTCACCAAGCCCATAAAACTAAACATCAAAAGCAATTCAGCTCCAAGAAGGATCAGGAGGGCAAAGCTTTATTATGGAGATGTTTATTCTACAGGAAGCAAGGTTAGACAGCAAACTCTCCTGCCCAAAATGGACAATAATGCTACTATTACATGTGACTGGACCCTTAAAGTGACAGTCCGCTATGCTTATACAAACACACAACATATATCTGTACTCAATGTGACATATTGCAATTATTTATTTTCTTAATTTACTGATTTTAAATTATTTGGTCTGATTTCTGCCATGATGCCCGAGATTTGAGCAGTGTTGCTTGTTGAAGAACTTAACCTTGCATCTTGATTCTGATACATTATTTGATTTTTTAAGTTGTACTCTTACAATTTAATAGGGGAACACTAAGAGTTTTGGCTGTTATTTGTGATATGCTGATAAAGAGATCTTTTAAAAACTAAATTAATTTCAGTGTAGACTAAGGCTCAAATTGGAATAAAAGGAGATATGGCCAATGACTAAATCAAAAGGTTTCATTCATTACTCTGGTGCAATAACTGTGCAGTCTGACACTTGAAAGGGTTAAAACTCAATCTTCTTTCAGTAGAGTATTTTTAAATCACGGATAGTAGGAACTGCCGATGCTGGAGTCTGAGATAACAAGGTGTGGAGCTGGATGAACACAACAGGCCAAGCAACAATCGGAAGAGCAGGAAAACTGATGTTTCGGGTTGGGACCCAAAATGTCAGCTTTGCTGCTCCTCCGACGCTGCCTGGCCTGCTGTGCTCATCCAGCTCCACACCTTGTTATCTCTATTGTTAAATAATATTGTGGAGATAACAGGTTTGTGGGCTAAAAATTAAATTGCACCTTTATTTAAGAACAGAGGTCACCATTCATGACCAGCCTACTCCACTTGAGGTAACTAGAAAGAAAATTTAATGCTGCTACCTTATCTCCGTAAATATTGGACCAAACATTTGTCATCCTGACTGCCCTCACACTCAGCAGAAAGCCAAGTAGAGTTTGATGACATCAGGTGCTCCTAAAGATAGCAAGTACCTCTTAAAAGGGAAGCAATGAATTACTGGGAGCTTCTTCTGAATGCTATTATTATGATTCCAAAGAAAGAAAATGGAAAAGCAAGGCAGAGAATTGGATCAAGGGTATGCTATAGGTTGACTACTACCAAAAAAAAAGTAAGTGTTATGGCTCCACAAGGGGCCAGGAGGCCCTCAAAAGATAATCCACAGAGGAGATTGGGAGCAGATGGCCAATTTCTGTTGACAACAGAGCCAGAAGATGACTAATAACCTCACTTGGGTGTTTGAAATTAAGAAATGCATGTTCATATGCCGTTTCCTACCCATCATTCCTTAAACCTCTCATGCAGATCAATGCACTACACCCCTGTCTTTATCCTGTATCAGTATCCGATAGTCAGGCCTACCATCTCATACTCAAATGCACTACCTCACTTTTACACAGCTATAAATTCTGACAGCTTCTCATTGCCTCCATAGATCTTCAGCTACAGCAAATCACTCAAATCAAAGTGCAGTTCAACTGACATTCTTTACTCACTTTTTGCAAGTGAAAGTAACTGAAAAACAGAAGCAAGATCAGAACCAGTAGGCTACAAAGATGGCTGTATCTCAAGAGCCCTACAAAGGAGATGGGCCTCACAGGACTAGCAGAGACCTTGGTTGGAATTTTAATCATGGGTGCTCTGTTCTTGATGGCAAACAGGACATGGGCACCACCTCCAATCTCTTTTTACCAGTTCCCACATGATTCATCACAGCCACAACTTTCCTCTCCAATGCTTGCCAATAATGTAAAACTTGATGAGGAGTATAAGACTGGTAAGAATATTTTTCAAACTTAAAGTTCACAATATTTCAAATTACAATGATTTCACCTTATTCATGTGGTATATCATTACTATCTGCTGAGACTAGCTTAGTCAGAAGCTAAAACCTTAATGTTTCGCACATATTGCTATTAATGCTGATAGTAGGTTGGGACGGCTGAGCTATGTACTGCAACGGACACTGTGATTTTAGGCATTCTCAACAGGGATAACTGAAATGTAGGTGAACACAAAGCCCTGTTAAGAACTCTGTGAACCAACACAGTGAGGTTGAGCCATATGTGGGGGATTTTAAGCTCCTCAATTTCTTACATTGACTGACTATTCCCACTGCCTGGACCGTACTCAATGCCAGGCCCTTCTCTCTTCAATCATCTATGTCCTCAACTCGACCGTCTTCCTTCACCTGGAACCCTGTTCCATACATCCAGGTCCCCAGTGCTACTGCACAACAGGCCCTCTTACTGGTCATGAGTTACTCAAGCTGTCATGAGATTCTCATGCACCAATTTTATTATAAAAGTTAATCTGAAATTATTGGATGTTTTAATGAATTTTCATGGCATGCAAGTCTATTACAAATGGAAACCCACCATGGGATGGTGTCAGCCCTGATCAGCCACAAACACAATGCTAAGTTAATCTCTAAATAGGAAGCGGAAAAGCAAAACCTCAGCTCTCACCTAATTAAGTCATCTACCAGCCATATTTTTGGTCTTGTAGGCCCCAAAAATCACCCCAACCCCCAATATTGCAATGGCACACAGCATCACTAAGAACATGGAGGACACTTTGGGGATAGTTGTACAACATGGAAATGGACCCTTCGGTCCAATTCATCCGTGTCAACCAGACATCCCAATCCGACCTAGTCCCATTTGCCAGCATTTGGCTCACATCCCTCTAAACCTTTCCTATTCATATACCCATTCAGATACCTTTTAAATGTTGTAATTGTACCTGTTGCAAGCACTTCCGCTGGCAGCTCATTCTAAACATGCACCACCCTCTGGATGAAAAAGTTAGCCCTCAGGTCTTTTGTAAATCTTTCCCTTCTGACTGTAAACATATGCTCTCTAATTTTGGATTCCCCCACTCAAAGAAAGAGATATTGGCTTTTCACCCTATCCATGCTCCTCATGATTTTATAAACCTGTATAAAGGTCACCCCTCAGCCTTTGATGTTCCAGGGAAAAAAGCCCCAGCCTATTCAGCCTCTCTTTGTAACACAAACCCTACAGTCCCAGCAACATTCTTATAAGTCTTTTTTGCACCTTCTCAAATTTAACAGTATCCTTCTGATAGAAGGGATAATGGCTACATTCCTGCCAAAGCCCTTTCTCAACTTCTAGTTCACCCCCACCCTATCTGCCATTGATGGGCAAGCTACTAATGGGGAAAACTATGAACATTTTGTTTTCCATCTTTTCCTCTCACTTCAACTGTTCCCTTTTTGATATCCTGCTTTCAGTTAACCAGAAAGGTTGCCTTCCCAGACACAGCACATTGTAGAAGAAGCAACACCAACACCATTGCAATCAAAGTGGCCCTCTCATTTGACCTGACACCACTGATACTGCCAATGCACTAGCTTCTAAGGATACATATGCAGCCAGGCCAGAGGTGGAGGATAAATTTTGCACCAGTTCAGTGTAGGGTGAGGTCCGAGATGAATTCTGCTGCAAGATGCTTCGATTATACCATAAATTGGGTAGATATACAGGACAATGCTGATGATGGTGCAAATAAAGATGCTCCAGGAACTCACCATTACAACTCCAAAGTATTTTAATAGACTTACATAGTAGCAAAAAAGTTCTTCAAAATGACCTTGCATACAATTTGGGTGCTTGGTTCTTTAAACAATATTAGTGTTAGAAACTTCTTACAGTTTAACATGTTCATCTTTGTTCAGTGATATACAAGTTTACTGAATGGATGTACATGATCCTAGTCTTGTAAATAGCATCATATCAACCAGTCAGACTGCGTGACACTGGAACGTGGAATTAAGTTGCTTGTTGTGGTCGCAGTGTATGCTAGAGGGAGTGCACTTTTCAGGTTGGTTTCTTGTGAGACCCATGCTGAAAGTGGAAAGTGGAAAGTGGTGTAGTGCATCCCTAGGAGAAAACTAGTTTTTAAACTTGTTGGTGAATCAGTAACAAGGGAGCACAAGCTAAAAATGATTAGAAAATACACTGGAGGTTGGAAGATGTAATTGTGTACACAATGTTATTATAACATGGACGGTTCATTGCAAGTGGTTGTTGAAGCACAGATGATAAAATATCATACAAGAAGAAACCTGTCATATGACATAGGAGCAATATTAAAGTAGACAAGGTGTGGGGCTGGAGGAACACAGGAGGCCACGCAGCATCAGAGGAGCAGGAAAGCTGACGTTTCAGGTTGGGACCCTTCTGAAGAAGGGTGCAGACCCTAAACATCAGCTTTCCTGCTCCTCTGATGCTGCCTGGCCTGCTGTGTTCATCCAGCTCTACACGTCGTTATCTCAGACTCCAGCATCAGCAATCCCTACTATCTCTGAGCAATATTAAAGTGATGTGTCAAAGACACAGGAACAGAATTTGACAGAACAGCTCCAGCTGAAGAGCAAATCCACCATGTAATTCTCATGTCGAGTTCACCCAAAGAAATAGGTAGCTTCCCTCTGCTCCTGATACTGACTGTTGTTTCAGCAGCCGGAGCCTTTATGTGCATTGCTCTGCAATAAGACTGGAAATTTTCTTAACTGTAATGCAATTTTACAACTTCTACAAAACATATAATATCCACAAAGACTTAGAAATATACATTTATGACTTTCATAAAAACAACTTTAAAGTTCTCCTTTGTTATACTTAGCTTTACTATGCTGCGAACTAACAAATGTGAATCCTCCATGTTGGTATTGGAAGTCAGAATGTTAGATATAAATCATTCAATTAAATCAATTTTATTTTCTCCAATATATTCATAAATAACGACATATTTCTAAATTTAAAAAGACAGACAACTTGCTTTTCGCAGACTATCTGGGCATCTTTCATAGTGTTGCCAGCAACAGTAATATCTTCAGGTTCAAAGGTCATCATAGCTTGCATTTCCAATATTGTGGCATAAGTCAGAGAATGGTACATGCTGTCTTTGGCTCTGTAAAATATTAGAAAATGATACAAATACATGGATACAGTCTGTTCCAATTAAGCCAGTCATTTTTGCTAGAAAACAGAAAAACAAATGCATGAGTTTTCATTAAGTAATGTTTTGTCTTGTTAACTACATTGTCAAAAAAACTATTAGTGTAAGAAATTGAATTTATAGGAGACTTTTTAAAACTGAAACTAATTACATGATAAAAACAGTCAAAATGGGGTGCAAAACGTTTCAGTGCCTAAACATACCAATTAAGATATTTTCTTGCAATATTGCCAACAATCCATAATTATAACATTGATGGCACCAGATGTCCAGTTCTCCAAAAACCTTGAATTAATTTTGTTTACTGGTTTGTGTATAAAAAGAGATGTACAAAAAGACCAGGTAATGACATGACTCACAGCACAAATCATCTTGTTTTTGAAGAAATGTCTACACATTGATAAAGAGCCACATGAAGATTTCTGCTTTGCCATGAGCTTGCCACATAAATGTCATCAGTTTATATTTTATCCTCATACATGCAGGAGGAAAATTTCTTGCAATTGGACTACTGGTTGAGAGCAGACTCCACTGACTTCCACAGCAAATCAAAGGAGTAGATTTGTTAGGGGTATTCAAAATCATGTGGGGTTTGATTATAATATATAGGGATAAAATGTTGCCATCAATGAGAGGATCAAAAACAAAAATGCACACATTTAAAAGGTAATTGGTGACATAAAAGAACAACTTTTTCACACAAGTCATGAGGAACTGAAATGCTCTGCCAGTGAGTGCAGTGGAGGCAGATTTAAACAGACGCACAGCAGGCAGACTCAGGAAGCCAAACAGCTACTCCTGCTTCTTTTTCCTGTGCGCCTATTAAAGCCATCGTATGTGTGCTCTGAGATTCTATGAAATGGAAGTACAATATTTAAAGTGCAACACTATACTTGTGGATAGTTGTCAATATTTAATAAAAAAAAGTTGACTTTTTTAAAAAAGTATTTTTAACAATTATGAAGTCAGAAAATGTTCATGACAGAATTTTATACAAAGGTGTGAAATAATAATTATCGTCTGCAAGACATAATTCACAAATCAGAAGTGCTTCCAGTGTGTGAACATGTCTGATTTCGTACTTGGTAAAGAAACAGGCTTTATCTTGTGAATCAAAAAACTCATGTTTGCACAGCACCATTCATAAGCACGAGACATCACAAACATGTCAGACTGATAAGGCAGCCAATTTACACACAGTCAGATTCCAAATGAGCAATGAGATGAACAACCAGCAAACGGAGGAAGAGGTGGGGTTTAGGGCCAGTGTAGGTACGGAAGAGGGATTGTTCCACGTAACCTACAAGCACCGCCCGCTTCTATCTCCTTCCCAAAATCCACAAACCTGAATGCCCTGGTCGACCCATTGTCTCCACCTGCTCCTGCCCCACCGAACTTATCTCCACCTATCTCGACTCCATTTTCTCCCCCTTGGTCCAGGAACTCCCTATCTACGTCCGTGACACCACCCACGCCCTCCACCTCCTCCAGAAATTCCAATTCCCCGGTCCCCAACACCTCATCTTTACCATGGACGTCCAGTCCCTATACACCTGCATTCCCCATACAGATGGCCTAAAGGCCCTCCGCTTCTTCCTGTCCCGCAGGCCCGACCGGTCCGCCTCCACTGACACCCTCATCAGCTTAGCCAAACTCGTCCTCACCCTCAACAACTTCTCTTTCAATTCTTCCCACTTCTTACAGACCAAGGGGGTGGCCATGGGTACCCGCATGGGCCCAAGCTATGCCAGCCTCTTCATAGATTACGTGGAACAATCCCTCTTCCGTACGTACACCGGCCCGAAACCCCACCTCTTCCTCAGTTACATTGATGACTGTATCGGCGCCGCCTCATGCTCCCACGAAGAGCTCGAACAGTTCATCCACTTCAACACCTTCCACCCCAACCTTAAGTTCACCTGGACCATCTCTAGTACCTCTCTCTCCTTCCTGGACCTCTGTCTCCATCTCGGGCAACCACCTAGAAACCGATATCCATTTCAAGCCCACCGACTCCCACAGCTACCTAGAATACACCTCCTCTCACCCACCTTCCTGCAAAAATGCCATCCCCTATTCCCAATTCCTTCGCCTCTGCCGCATTTGCTCCCAGAACGAGGCATTCCACTCCCGTGCATCTCAGATGTCCTCGTTTTTCAAGGATCGCAACTTCCCCCCCTCAGTGGTCGAGAATGCCCTCAACCGTGTCTCCCACATTTCCCGCAACTCATCCCTCCCACCCCGTCCCCGCAATAACGACTAAAAAAGAATGCCCCTCGTCCTCACGTACCACCCCACCAACCTCCAGATCCAACGCATCATCCTCCGACACTTCCGCCATCTGCAATCCGACCCCACCACCAAAGACATCTTTCCCTCCCCACCCTTAGCTGCTTTCCGGAGGGACGACTCTCTCTGTGACTCCCTTGTCCGCTCCACACTCCCCACCACACCCGGCACTTTTCCCTGCAACCACAGGAAGTGCTAGACCTGCCCCCATACCTCCTCCCTCACCCCCATCCCAGGCCCCAAGAAGACTTTCCACGTCAAGCAGACGTTCACCTGCACATCTGCCAATGTGGTATACTGCATCCGCTGTACCCGTTGTGGCCTCCTCTACATCAGGGAAACCAAGCGGAGGCTCGGGGACCGCTTTGCAGAACACCTACGCTCGGTTCGCAATAAACAACTGCACCTCCCAGTCGCGAACCATTTCAACTCCCCCTCCCATTCCTCAGACGACATGTCCATCCTGGGCCTCCTGCAGTGCCACAACGACGCCACCCAAAGGTTGCAGGAGCAGCAACTCATTCCGCTTGGGAACCCTGCAGCCCAATGGTATCAATGTGGATTTCACAAGCTTCAAAATCTCCCCTCCCCCGACCGCATCCCAAAACCAGCCCAGCTCGTCCCCACCTGCCTAACTTGTTCTTCCTCCCATCTATCCCCTCCTCCTACCTCAAGCCGCACCCCCATCTCCTACCTACTAACCTCATCCCACCCCCTTGACCTGTCTGTCCTCCCTGGACTGACCAATCCCCTCCCTACCTCCCCACCTACACTCACCTTTACTGGCTCCACCCCCGCCTCTTTGACCTGTCTGTTTCCTCTCCACCTATCTACTCCTCTATCCGCCTCCCCCTCTCCCTATTTATTTCAGAACCCCCTTCCCCTCCCCCATTTCTGATGAAGGGTCGAGGCCCGAAACATCAGCCTTTCTGCTCGGCCTGGTGTTCATCCAGCTCTGCACCTTGTTGTCTCCAAACTAAAATGATTCAGGTCTCCTCACTCTTTGCTGTCTGTCCATGAGCCAAACTATGTACTTCCTTGATTACTACGCACATTATTTTTGTTTGTTTTCTCTGCAGCCAAGTGCCTTCTGAAAACTGAATATAAAGCTTCAACTTCTTTTCATCCCTGCTTCAATTTTTTTTTTCCAAAGAATTCAATTAGTCCAGCATTTACAAACCAGAGTTAGCCTAATAAAAAAAACTGAAACAGAAGAGTTAAATTTTCGTGCGAGTAACTGAAATGGTCCTGGATGGATTTTTGTAATCCCCTTTCAGTTTGTGTAAACAAACATTTTAACACCCAGATAGCAAGAACTGCATATGCTGGAGTCAAAGTAAATACAGAGTGGAGGTGGAGGAACACAGCAGGTCAGGCAGCAGAGGGGCAGAGAAGGGTTTACGTCCTTCATCACAGTCTAGCCTGTGTTGGAGATATTATAGCAAAGTGGTTGCATCCCTGCCCTGAGCCAGAAATACCAGGTTAATGTCCCACTTCAGAAATTAATGGAAAAAAAACGATATGTTAGTTGTGGATGACATCAGTAAGGAGCAACATATGGATGAGAAATATGAGAGGGTCAAAGAGAACATTGTGAAATCAGTAGGTAAACTTATTGAAACTTAAACAGGTTGGGTGTCAACTTGTAAATCCTTCCAACAAAATGCCAATGGTGTGCAAAAGCAGATGGTCCTGGATGTGAATAAAGAAATTGGAGCTTTACCATCACTATACATGGTTATAGCATGCATGTAAAAACATATATCGCTACAGCAATTCAAACTTGTTGTGGGACCAACTGGCTCAGTTAGGTAGATGGCTGATGAAAATCAGATCGGTGTTATCAGCATGGGACCCATCATTAATTATAACATTGTTACTGTCGCAGACAAGTCTCATCTTTGACTTCTTTATTCCCATATTCCCAAGATAAAAGATCTGTTACATCTTTGTGCTATTCTGTCAGATTCCACATGCAACATTGCCATGCTTTTCCACGACTGATGTGTCGTCTTCACTTAATAAGACCACGCTCCTTTCTCAATCTCTCCTCAAAATTCTCTTTGCTGGTCAAAACAGTTTCTGTGAAGGCGACATCATTAAATTCCTCTGTTCTGATTAATATTCCTGATTACAAAAACATTTTATATTTGCATGTAAATTCTGAAACTCTGGACATTCATATTCCTCAGTCCTCTTTTCCCAACGTTCAGTATTTCTTCATTTGCTCCAGTATGTTTCACCATAACTTCTCTTCCATCTACTTTAAAAGATACATTCTATCATTGTTTAAAAGGAAGAAACTATTTTTTTCTGGTTCTTATATTTATCCTCAACTATTATCCTGTGCAGTTTAAAACATGCCCTTTCCACATTTCATGCAATGTGAATCTTAGCCCATAATATGGTTGCACATCAGCATGAGTGAAGGCAAGAGTTTTGAAATTCTCAACTGCAAACACAATCCACCCACTTTTGCTTTTAACAGTGGTGGCTGACCAAACCACTCTCTGGAGGTGGATCAGTCAGGAAGATTACTTAAGGAAGCCGTGTGCTTGCACCTCAACTCAATTTTTGTTTTTAAGAAGTGATGTACGAGGAGGCGTGAATGGCCTGGACCCAGAAAACGAGTGCACTTATTATTTATCCTGTAAGCCAAGAAG